TGCATGACACACTCTTTTCCCAGCAGCACTCAGGTAAGAGCCACCGCATATGTATACGATCTGTGTGTGTTAAAAGCGAGTGTTACATTCAACATACTTCCCACGCTCAAACTCAAACACACATCCCACAATCGTCTGTAAAATGCGGCCCAGTCTGTGTACTACTGCGTCTCTCAAAGCTGTTAACCACAAAAGCCAAACATGTCAGCTGATCCTCAGGGGACGTGACTGTGCACAGCGTGTGTCAACAAACCGGACCTGTAATAATAACGCTCGAGTCCTGCTAGTGCAGACGGACGCTTTAGGAACCATAATATTTAGCAAACCCTCGAACCCAGTAATAAACTCACAGCCCTGCTCCTGTGTGGTAATGTGAGGGCAGGACACATGAACTCATGAATACATCATAGACAGACAGACAGAGGCACACAAACACACACACACACACACAGCCACACTCACATATTCACTTATATTTCACAGTAAAGTGAAGAGAGAAATCCATTATCAAAGTCAAAGGTTGGTGTTAAAACTCACAGTTTAACCCTCAGTACTTATTCTGTTGTTCCAGACCTTTTGTATTCCTTTTAAATCAATCAATACATCTCCATTTTTCTATCTCGGTCTCTTTTTCTCACCTTCGGATTGTGTCTTTTATACATCTCTCTCTCTCTCTGTCTCTCTCATTTCCTCTCCGTGTACATTACTGGTTCTGTTTTCTCTCCTCCTGACTGGAGTTACAGTACCAGTTAAAAGCTGTGTGATGACTAGACACTTTTTAATGAACCAGAAGGACATATTTTACCTCTACTTAGGGTTTGAGGTTTCCTTTTTTATTGTGATTACTATTAGCAAGTAATAAACAGCACCAGGCGTTTCCTTGTCCTATCAACTAATTATTATGTATGAATATGTACAGCTCATTACCTTGGATCTGTAACAGACAGACTAAAGCCATGTTTCTAATGAATATGTATATAGAAGCCACACCTGGTTCTCTTGGATC